GGCCTCGACTTACGCTGCCGCAGTGCACTCGCCTCGATCTCTCTCCCCCCGCCATCAGCACAGTGGACATCCTCCTGTGCGCACCACGGACATTCCCGAGTATGATGGCACATCCCGTGTCTCTCGCTGGTTGCAGATAGCAACGCGCACGCTCTCTATGACGACTACCCGTCAGGAGTTGTGGTGCGATGTGCTCGCAACCAAATTGCGAGGTAGCCCTTCCACTACGTGGGAGGATCATTATACCCAGCGCCTCCACGTGGGTGAGGTCCCCACTTTGGCCGACTTCGCGGCCTTTCTTCAGGACCGTTTCGGCGCTCGTCATGACGTCACCGACGCCTTAAACTGCGTCACCCAGACCAGATGGTCCGGGTCCTCTGTACCGGCTGACCTGGAGCGTCACATCCAGGTGTTTCAGGACTCTCGCCTTGTTTGTGACGAGACGTTTCTACCGGAGGTCACACTCACCGACCGGTTCCTTGTCAGCCTGCCTACTGACTACCGCCTAGAGCTATGGAGGCGATCATTCTCTTCCGCGGAGCAGGCATACGAGGTTGCGCGTCAGTACCAGAGGATGTGCAGTCGCTTCTCCGTCGCCCCATCCTCTTCGCGGCCAGCCTCCACCTCCCTGTCTCGGGGTACCACCCGAGACCGCTCCTCGTTTGCCGGTCATTTTCGTCACCCGGCTCGACCTGGAGCGCCATTCGCTCGGCACTACAGTTCTCTCGAGTATGCAGAGGACGCCTCAGCCGAGCTCGATCCTACCATTGGGGACGCCCCCGAGGACATCGAGCTTCGGGACGTCATCCAGTACCACTTGGATGACGACACTGTCCCAATGGCCGAGTTTGCACGCAGTCGGGTTGCACAGGCTGGCGCCTGCACACCCACAGGTCCTCAGATAGACCTCCCGCAGGGTTTTGTCCCTCCTCGCGGAGCTCTATCCCTCGAGGAGTGTGCCGCCCTCGAGGCCCGACGAGGCTGCCTTCATTGCCGCCAGGATGGACACACCTCCTCACGGTGTCCATACGACACCGCCCTCGATCGGTACTACGCTGACATTTCTCGTCAGCGCCGATCTCAGTCCCCCCCAGGCCCCGCCCGGCCAGCCCCACCGAGCTAGCCACGGTGCAGTGTACCCCTGAGGCCTCGCACGTAGCCGGCTTCCCGACCACCGAGTCGCGGTCTGCCCCTTTGGCTATCTCGCCAGAGGACCCTCAGGATACGACAGACGCAATTCTCTTTGCCCCGTCGTCTGTCGAGGTACTGTCTGCCTCCCCGCAGACCGCCACATCTAGCGCTTCTCCCCCGAGACTTCCGACGCGTCGCGCCATTCGCACAGCCCGTTGTAGCACTCAGCTGGCGACTCGCGATGACGTTGTGTCATCTCTTTTGGACTTGAGCATTCTGCAGGCTCATCAGGAGCGACTCACGAGGCACGTCAACGTCCTTCGTCATCTTCTCGCTCTGCTCTCTGATCCTGATCGCACCCTACCCATTATCCCTATCCGCCTAGAGACATCTACAAGGGTGTATCGCGCTTTATGGAACTCCGGCTCGCAGGGAGATTTCGTTCACCCTCGAGTGGTTGAGGAAGCTCGCCTAGCTACCTCTGGGTCTCACTCTCCTATCTCCGTTACCCTCGGAGATAACAAGACGCAGCGATTCTTCGATCAGACAGTCCCCGACCTCCACTTCTCCCTCACCCTCCAGCCATCGGATAGTACCCAGACGCCTAGGCGCTACCATTCCTCCGCATACTTCGACGTGCTGGAGACTGGGTACGACTTTATCCTTGGCACTCCCTGGTCTCGCCGGTTCCCCAGCACAGAAGCCGAATGGGCGACCGAGACACTCGTTCTCAAAATGAAGTTCGTCCAGACCAGACCATTCAAGTCCCCTTCATTGGAACCACGGGTGACACCCCCGCAGACCTACCTCCCAGGACCCTCGTCCCTCTGGGTCCCACCCAGACATCGCCTTCACTTCCCCTCGTAAGTTTGCTCACTTCATCCGACAGGAGGACGTCACATTCTACTCAGTGAACGTCATGGATCTTCTTCGCTATGATCCACTCTGTCCCGAGGTTGAGCTCATCTCACTGGAGCCCGATCCCGCTGACCCTTCCTCCATCTTCGCGGCTCCCATCTCCACATCCACCCGTCAGCCTCCGGATACCCCCTCCACGTCCCAGCCCCCTGCGTTGCCGACCGTCGAGTCCACATATACGTCTCATGCCGACGCAGACGCTGAGGAACTCACACGGTTCACGACAGACTTAGAGCCCGCCATTCGCGACCTGATTCGAGAGTACCGCGACGTCTTTCCCCCGTACTTCTCATACGGCGGGATTCCCCCGATGCGCAGTGTTGAGCATTCTATACAGCTCGTGCCTGACTATCGTGTTCACCATTAGGCACCGTACCGACTCTCGATTCCAGAGGCGACGGAACTCAAGCGTCAGCTTGAGGAGCTCCTTCGACTGGGTTTCATTAAACGCAGTAAATCCCCTTGGGGTGCACCTGTCCTCTTTGCTCACAAAGCGGACGAAACTCTTCGCCTCTGCATCGACTACCGCGGCCTTAACCGTTACACGGTTAAGAACAACTATCCCATGGCCCGCGCGGATGTTTGACCGTCTGGCAGGCAACCGCTTCTTCACGAAGATCGATCTTCGTAGCGGTTACCACCAGATCTGCGTTGCCACAGAGGATCAGCCGAAGACCGCCATTCGGTCGCGCTTCGGCCACTACGAGTTCACGGTGATGCCATTCGGCCTCACCAATGCCCCCGCCACCTTCCAGAGGGCGATGAACGACATCTTTAGGGACATCCTTGAASAATACGTTCTCGTATACCTGGATGACATCTTGGTCTACAGTCATACCTTAGAAGACCATCTCAGACACCTCCGCGATGTCCTACAGCGCTTACGCAAGCATGGCTTCTATGCCAAGCTCAGTAAGTGCCGATTTGCCCAGCGCAAAGTGGACTTCCTAGGACACCATGTGTCTGACCAGGGTCTCCACATGGACGACGCGAAGATCACTGCTATTGCAGAGTGGCCCGTCCTCGCATCTGCCAAGCAGCTTCACAGTTTCCTAGGCCTCACCAGCTACTATAGTAATTTTATCCAGGGATACGCTAGGTATTCTTACGTCCTTACCTCTACCCTCGTCCGTAAGAACCCGCCGTGGTTTTCGAAACCCCTGTGCGAGGACGCCTTTCGCGCCCTCAAGAAGGCGGTGACCTGTGCGCCGGTTCTTCGCCTTCCAGATTTTGATCGCCCCTTTATCGTCACCACCGATGCGTTAGATTTTGCAGTAGGAGCTGTCCTTTCTCAGGTGTTTCCCTCTCCTCCAGATTCACCTTACCCCCATGTTCCTCCTTTCGCCCCCCCTCCTGCTGACACTGCTTCTCGACTGCCGCCTACCTTCCCACCACTTCCCTCCACTGACAGTCCTTCTGTTACTTACTCCCCGAACATCGCGAAGGATGGGACTGTCGAGGCTCGTGTTGGGGATTGCCCAATCGCTTTCTACTCCCGTCAGCTACTGTCTGCCGAGATAAACTACACTGTCGATGAACGTGAGGTTCTCGCAGTAGTTTATGCTACCCGGCATTGGCGTCATTATATGTACGGGGCACCCTTCACGGTGCGCACGGACAACTCAGTTGTCCAGGCTTTCCTCACGAAGCCTAAGCTTTCCCCTCGACAGGCACGCTGGTGGCGTGACTTATCCGAGTTCAGTTTCACCACTCTGCCCATAAAGGGTGAAACGAACCGCGTCGCCGATGCCTTGTCCCGCCGTCCTGATCACAATCAGGAACTCATCCATCTTGCTGCCATCTCTATCACCACTGTTGATCAGTCGGTGATCGACGTGTATCGTACTTTGTACCGCCACTGCCCCGATTATCACGTCATCCACGCGACACTGCGGAGTGGCAAGACCGTTCCTTCCTACTCCCTCAGGGAGAACGGCCTCGTGTACTGGCATGGCAGATCTGGTCAGCTAGAACTACGTATCTGTGTTCCTTCCACCGGACAGCTCCGCGTCCAGGCTGTAGCAGAGTTCCGTGACCAGGCAGCTGCCGGTGATATGGGTTTCCACAAGACGTTGGCTCATGTTTGCCGCCTATACGTCTGGGCGAAGTCCAAGGACTTTGTCAAAGCCTACATCCAGGAGTGTCCTACCTGCCAGGAGGTGAACAGTGCGAACCACCTTCCGTATGGGTTACTTCAGCCCTTACCCATACCTGAAGGTCGTTGGCAATCCATCTCGATGGATTTCATTGGTCCCCTCCGCCCACCCACTGAGCGTGGTCATGATGCTATCTTGGTCGTCGTCGATCGCTTCACGAAGCGTGCACGTTTTGTCCCGTGCCGCTATCGCATTAGCGCTCGTGAGGTCGCCGACATCGTCTTCAACCGAGTCGTGAGAGATCACGGCTTACCTCAGAGCATCATCTCCGACCGTGACTCGCGCTTTACCAGCACATTCTGGCGACGCCTACACGAGGTGTACAGATCCCAGCTCTGCTTCTTATCGTCTTTACCACCCTCAGACGGATGGTCAGACTGAGGTCACCAATAAAACTCTCGGTAATATCCTCCGAAAGTTTGTTAGGGATGACCAGCAGTGGGACTTACACTTAGCCCACGCGGAGATTGCGTACAACCACGCTGCTTCGCCAGCCGCGGGGATGTCACCATTCTATTGCGACCTCGGCTACCACCCTCGCGTACCCGCGGATTTCCTACGACCATCTTGATTGCACCCAGACACTCGTTGCCCTGCGCTTGACGACTGGATCGCCCACATGGCGGCGATTATGAAGTGCGCACACGAGAGTTACGCCGACTCCCTGACTCGCATGGCCGCACGAGCGAACCGATCACGAATGGATCATCCATTCAAAGTCGGTGACGATGTGCTCGTCGACGCACGCCACTTACAGCTCGAAGCAGATACGCTTCGCAAGTTCAGGCGTCGTTTCTTCGGTCCATGCCGCATCCTTCAGGCCGTTGGTTCTGATACTGCCGCTAGTCCGGTCAGCTTCCGTGTAAAGCTACCTGATTACCTTCAACAGGCTCGCGTACACGATGTTTACCACGTCTCCTTGCTGCGTCCTTATCGCAGACCGCCCGAGCGCTTTGTCGGATGCCCTTATGAGCGCCCTCCACCTATCATGGTGGACGGTCACGAGGAGTTCGTTGTTTCTGACATCGTATCACGCCGAGTTACCGACGATACCCCTCCACGCATCGAGTACCTTGTGCGTTGGAAGGGCTACCCTGATGAGGAGGCACTTGGGAGCCCCTCGAGCACTTGCAGCACGCCAGGATGTTGGTGCGTGCATACGATCGTGCTCGTCGTGCTGAGATGTCTGCCCCTGCTCAGCGGACCGACCCTCTTCCTCCTCCTCCGACTGAGGAGATTGCTGAGGACAAGCCCGCTCCCTCTGAGGTCGTTCCTCAACCGCAGACTGTCGCCTCCGAGCGTCCACAGCGCACTTATCGTCGCCCTTCGCGTTACGATGACTGACACTCTTATCCTCTATCTTTCCCCTACTAACACACACCATCAGGTACTCCATCATCAACTTCTTCAGGATGTCAGCGTTTTGCAGCTCTGCTTCGACATCGACTCGACTGCTACTTCATCGACGTCATTGACCACTTCGACGACTTCAGCTACCTTATCGGCTTCAGCTACTTTGGACGTGACTACTTCATGCCACCACCCTACCCTGTACATTCCCTTGCATCTGTCGCATGATGGTTCTCACTTAGCTGGGTCTCTTTGAGTTGGGCTCTCCCTTGGTATCGCATAGGCATTGGGACCGTAGCGTTATTTTGGCTTCCTTGCTCCCAGATCTAGCTCCCTCCTCCCCCAGTCGGTGAGTTGTGTGCATGTTTCCCTCACCCACTGCCCTCATCACCCTAGTGTCGGCCCTTGCATGCCTGCAGTTAGGCATATATCCACCTATTCCAGACTCCCCTTTTTTTCATGGTCGACCCTGCATGGTGTCATCCTTTTGTCGAGCATTACCTGCCCTGATGGTCTATCTGTTAGGGTCTTTGGTTTTGTTTTGCTACCACTCTCCCACCTTGAGCCTGATGACCTATCCCACCTTCACGTGTGACTGCCCTTAGGAGTTTTGATTCTTAGGCTGCATTCACCCCCTTTGAGACCATCCCACCCTTAGTGGTTCAGCGACAGGACATTATCTTGTGCCATATTGCTCTTTTTCCTTTCAGCACTGAGGCAATTGCCTCCAGGACTTTAGGATTGTATATTGCTACATTTCACTTTTTGCTATTAGCTAGGATATGGATACCAGACATTTGCTTTTCTTTTGACATTATGTAGCTTAGGATGCATCGCATGGACTCCGCATGGAGCTTGCTCCGCATCCTAGATTTCTCAGCTTTCTTTATTGCCGAGTTCCGCTGCTTTTGCGGATAGCGTGTTTATGGCTCTTGCGATCCATTACAAGTTTGAGGATCGTGCAGCGGGCCTTCATTTGCCCTGGCCTACAGCCAGGGCCTATTTGGCTATTTGCCAGTTTGGCCTGTGGGACCAGGCCATGGCCTGACCCCACAGGCCGTGTGATGTTCCAGTCCTGCCCGGTACCACTGTCGGTACCAGGCCAATCCAGACAGTCAGTCCGCTGGGGGTATACCCCAGCTGTAGTCTGTTTTTGATTCATTTTTCATTTGCACAGATTGGAGTACGTGCGTGTTGAGTCTGCGTTGGAGCTGCGCTGTCCCTTCCAGCTCCATCTCCATCTCCCCCATCCTCATCCCTTCGTCTTGATCCTGACGGAATGAACTACTGATCCGACAGTACTTAGGCCAAGTACTTTTTGGACTTTATGGGGATCCGACTTGTTTCAGCGGTCGCAGGAGATGCTGGCACCGTCGCAGGGCTTTTTGGGCTTGGGGTGTCGTGCCACGCAGCGCGGATTCCATTTCGCAAGAAAATAGACCGTTTTGGAAAAGAGCCACAAACGGTCTCTGCAACACAAAAGATGGAGAAGGTCTTTTTTTTTTTTTTTTTTTTTTTKTGATGTCCAGGTCCAACAGCACTTCCGACTGTTCACACACCCGGTACCGGCCGCACAATCTTTAGAAAGCCACACACACGAGGCCGGTCGCTCAAAGGCCCCCCCCGCTGGACCTCTTCGACTTCTTGGAATTCGCAGGAACCGGGGACGGCCGCTTTTACATCTAGATTACCTATACCTTGATTACCTATATCCCGATTACCTACTTCTTGAGGAGAATTTTCTTTATTTTGTTTTTCCATGAGTTTCCTTTTCCTAATTGGGGATTTTGAACATTGAATTTTGCAGACAGTTTAGTAGGGATAGGACTTCGGAGGTTACGGCTGGAACTTTGGTAGGCAGGGGGGTTTTGAGACCCCAGGGTACAAACATACGGTAGTTACCCACAGCAGGTCTGAAATCCGCCTGGCCTAAGTTAGGGGACAAGCCAAGGGAAGGACGGTAGGACTGTCAGCCTGGGCTCCGCCTGGCCTTGGGTAAGCTAGGGGAAGGAGAGATAGGGCTGGCCAGTTGTGGGTATAGACTACTAGTTAGTTGTACCCGAAAAATTAACCCTAGGGTCTGTTACAGGGGAGCCTTATTCTACAGGGGTGTTGCATGGCGGGAGACAGTAGCCCTATTGGGAGTAGGGCAGATTGGAGATTGTCTGAGTCTGGGGCCGGGGTTGGAGAGTTGGTCGCCTCCATCCCCAGCGGGGGCAGACAGGGACAAGGGGTGGGCAAAGGCAGGCTCTAGGAGGGGATTGGTTGCCTTCGCGGATGTGGTGGAGGGAGGGGAGGGGATCTGTTTTATGTTGGGGCCGAGGGATTTTCCTCGGTGGAGGCAGCATGAGACAGGGTACAGTGGGTATGGATCGGTTTGAGCTGTGACCAATGGAAGCGTATCCTTTTCACGATCTAATAAACTCGATGCGTCAAAAAAAAAAATCTCAGACTAATAATTTCAATACAGTTCAATACTTCAAAACCAGCCACCTGCTGCTCTACAATCTTGGCAGCACCTGGTCTTCTTCTTTATTTGGGATATAGGAATTCAGGGATCGTCGAACCTAGACTGATAACTGCTGAAGTTGCTTTGTTCTGTGCTTCTAGATTGTCGATGCCAGAGCAACGCTGGCCGGAGCTGGGGCATAGCCCTGTAACCTGTAATTGGCAGGGGTGGGAGGCCTTGTAGAGAGAGTTGGGGTTTGCTGAGGGAGAAAAGCAAGCCAATGGTGAACCAGGAGGGGCTACCTTGACAACCTATGGGGTGGGGTTAGTCTGGTAGTGAGGAGAGATCAGCTATGGCAGTGGGGGGATAGGTTTGTCTTGTTCTAGAGTTGCAATATCCTGGCAAGGGAGGGCTTGGAGTTGTTCAGGATTAGGAGTCCAGTATGGCTGACTCAGCATGTGTAGCTACATTTTTTTGTCATCACTGGCATTATTAGTATCATCAGCGTTAGAATTTTCTATTCTCAGGTTTTTCTCAGCCGAAGCCGGGTAATGGCCCCGGTGTTACAAACTGATGTATGTTCATATGGGACGCTGGGCCCGGTTCCCAGCACGTGCTGCTCCCCACGAATAGACTGGAGCTTCTTTCTGTCGAAAAAAATAAAATAAAAATAAAAAATAAAATAATAATATAATAAAATAAAATAAAAAAATAAAAATCTCTTTTTATTTTTATTTATTTTTATTATTAATATTTGTTTTTCGTATTTTATTTTTATTTCAAATTTGGTAAGGAATTCGGATGTAATGCTCAGGCAAATCTTGTTTAATTTATTTTTCTCCATAACATATCTTTGTTTCATATTTGTTTGATGACTTTTTGTTATTTTTTTGTTTTTTTTTTTGGGTCCGCGTTCGGCCCGTCCCGAACGCCGGTTACCCTGTATATATATATATATATATATCCTCTCTCTCTCTCTCTCTCTCTCTCTCTCTCTCTCT